ATAACTCTATATTTAAATATATATTCATAAATATGTTTTATTTAAATATATTTATGTTTAAATACATATATTTAATATTTAAGTTATTTAAATTTAAAGTATTAAAGCATTAGTCTATGGAAAAAGTTTGTCCAACTTAACATTTTATTTTTGCTAATCAATTTATTTTTAATTTGATTAATTTATTATTTTTTAAATTTATATTTAAATATATACTCATAAATATATTTATATTTAGATACATATATTTAAATTATTTTAATTTAAAGTATTAAAGCATAAGTCTATGGATCAAGTGTATCTGTTGCACCCTAGTTTGCTTATTTCTAATAAACACTACAACTATATACTTTGTTTGTGACGATATCAGGACATAAATTACATACTTTTAAGTATGCAAGCATTGGGACACATTATACTCATACCACAGATCCCTGTTCGCATAGATCTGAATGCATTAGCCTACCATTCATCATAAGTTCATACATTTATAAACGGTTTCGGTCCCACATTCCTGACCACTTTTCTGCAACTGAAAGTGTGGGAAGAGGACAGTCTCAGATTCCCGCTTTTCCATTGCACAAGGCATTGTGGGCAATATAAACCCAAAAAGCATGCACAGATGCATACTTCTCAAATCCACTGGAAGTCCCAGCACTTGCTTTTCAAATGAATAGAGACACGCTTATTCTAAACTTGCATGCATCTTCAGATGAACAGTACATGAAAAATGATCTCGAAAACACATAAGTAAAAATGAATACATTACAGTGTCAGAAATGCGTGATTGTGGGCTTTTATACGGCGGTATATGAGTGTGTTTCCCCTGTAGCGCCCCCTGCAGGTGGAGCTCGGACCAGCCTCACGGTTCATTATTACTTTTGGTACGCGCTATGCCACTCTCAACTCGTACCGTGAGTAATAGTGCACTGTGACTGGTGTCCTCAGCGACAACACACAGACCAACCAAAAACCTGGACCACATCCGTCTGAAAACCACCTCAAAACCACAATAACAGACCCCCTGAACACCCAGCAGCAGCACACGGTTTCCTGACAAATACAGTGTCTCTCATTGAGCATATTATCATTTAACAGATTGTGGAGTTGTATTATATTTCTTCAAACAGATCTTGACAATAGTTTTTTTCCCTCCAGATTTTTAGCTGTCCTTTTTATAAAAAAATTACACATTTGTAATATTTTATTTGTATGTGTTATTTGAATTAATTCTAAATATTGTAATAAAATTCAACATTGTATTACATAAAACAAATATTTAGTTGATATTAAATTATAAATGATGCCAATCCCGTGGCAGAAACAGAGAAGGAAATAGAGAGAAATTAGCGTAGCTGCTGTTCCAACTGAGCAAGAAATGATGTGTTCAACCCAAGCAAAAGAATGAAAATGTGCATTTGATCAGATATAACTGCAGTACAAGATTATGAGATGCATTATTTGAAATGCTTGTCTTTAATCTAGATTTAAACAGAGAGTGTGTCTGAACCCCGAACCAGGGGCGGATTTAGTGATTTGGGGGCCCCAGGCAAAATATAGGAATCGGGCCCTATATATTTGCACACATTTACCTAGTTCAGCCTTGAGGTTCCTTTTTTGTTGTGATGCTTGCTTGCTGCTGCACAATGGTGCCCCACAGTTGTGTCCAATGTTTCTACATTTTTCATGTACATGTTATAATGGTTTTTTTCATGCTGTAGACCACGAAATAGCAACTGATTTACAGTTTTCACAAAATCAAAATAAATTATAAAATGATAAACCTCACAATTGAGCGTTTAAACCAGGGATGAGTCAGAAGTATAAATTATATACATAATATAAAACGGGGTTATGTGGGTGGATTTTCGCATTGGTCTGAACAAAAACTGCAGATGGGATTATTGAAAATGAACATTCATTCTCTGCCAGAAGGAAGCGCTTTTGGAACATCAGAAATACAGTGGTTTCCCCGGTAACGGCTGTAAACAA